TCAAGTTAGAGTGTGAACAGACCCCTGCTCTCAGATAAACATATCAGCATGTTCATTGCACTAGTTTTGTTGAAAGACAAATGTTACATATACAGTACATGTTCAGCCTGGTCTCACTGTTTTTCATAGGCACTATTTTATATAAACCATAATCTCTAGGGTTTGGGGGGGAAAAAGTGTTAATTTGTGCGATTATAACAAACTCTTTAATGTGTTAATAATGAATAACTCTTTATTTATTATTAATTAATTAATTAATTTACTTTGTAGGCCACACTATTGTTTTCCCCCGTCCCTGTTTGCCGTGGCATCTCTGTTTCACTGATTATCTAGATTTATTTTCCCACTTGTCCTCCTTATTGCTATTGCTATATTGCTATTGCTATTGACAATACCAAAGGTGGGATCAATTAAAAGGATGTTTAAATTAAAACTCAAAAATGAAATCACACACACCCATAATGCTGACCTGGGCAGTCTAAAAAAGTGTTAATTTGTGCGATTATAACAAACTCTTTAATGTGTTAATAATGAATAACTCTTTATTTATTATTAATTAATTAATTAATTAATTAATTTACTTTGTAGGCCACACTATTGTTTTCCCCCGTCCCTGTTTGCCGTGGCATCTCTGTTTCACTGATTATCTAGATTTATTTTCCCACTTGTCCTCCTTATTGCTATTGCTATATTGCTATTGCTATTGACAATACCAAAGGTGGGATCAATTAAAAGGATGTTTAAATTAAAACTCAAAAATGAAATCACACACACCCATAATGCTGACCTGGGCAGTCTTGTAATCAGATGTACTGTATTTATTTATTTATTTATTTTTTATAAAATGAGCATACTGCTTTCCATTTGGTTGAAGGCCATGTGAGTGCACAGATACTGATTGAGTGCATGCACCTTTACGAACCTGCAGAGAGTGGCAGAGAGTGTATTGAGCACACTCTCACCTGTGTCCTCTCTTTCAAGTAGCATTGGGAAGTCTATTATTTATTTATGTATTCTTTAATTTATTTATAATTGAAACAGCCAAATGAACAACTTCATTTTAATTCAATAAAAAATTTTTATTAAATGAATCAGATGTCCCAGTGCTACTTGTTGGAGATGACTTTCTAGAGGAGAGCCCTCAATACACTTGCTCGCATGTGCTTCTGCACATGCTTAACATACTTTGTTGTTGGGCAGGGTGGTATCACGGTATATATCGTTACAGCGAAATAAAGTGTCTATCGTTCGAGATTTTGCTATATCGTGTATTCCGCAGTATGCAAATATATCCGCGTAACATAGTACTGCTTAAATGTTATACTCATTTTTCAAACTATTAAAAATAGAGAAAAAAATAAATCTTACGATTTTTACATTTTGGAGTTTGTTCGACTCGACATGAGCCAAGGCTCGAATTTTCCTTCTGTGCCTGACTGTTCAAAAGTTATTAGCATAAACATGAGTGAAAATTTGTGGTGGCGCTAGAGAGTTTGAGTTAGAGACTTCAAATTTGCTATGGTGACTATTCAGACTGTGCTCTATCAGTGTGCCAGTAATTTCAATAATTTCATTACTTTCCTACAAGTGGTTCTATGGACTGCCATAGACTCAAGAGTACCTTCAGTGCTTGGCCCCTAATAATAATCTGACAATGAAATGAACAAACCTAGTTGTTGTATGCCAGCTCTAAATCAGGAAAACACTTACTCACAGTACACTGACAAGCAAACTGGCATTAAAGAGTGAAACGTTTCTTTTCACTGGCTTATGTTTCATCGGCTGGGCCTGACAGCTCCATTAGCAGTATAGATGGTCCAACATCTCACATAACTTACAGAGTTGTTTTTGGACTTTAAAGTTAGCTCTTGCTAAGTTAGCTCCCTGTCCTGTTGATGTATGCTGGCTGAATTCTGGATGAATACTGTGGCACCATTAACATGATAAATTCAGGCAACTTTAGGTTGAGTCAGTCGAGCCAATGATTTTGCTTGTATTATGTTTTAAACTTTTTTCTAACAGTGGTGGACCATGGATTTTAAGTTTGGTCCTTAATGTGATTCTTGCCTTCAAGAAACACAGTTTTATAATGAATACGACATCATGCTACAGTGCCTATGGTTTACTTACTCCAATAATACATGTATTTTGTATCTTATACAAAATAAATGTAAAATTGGTAATTCATTAAAGTATCACTATTAGGCTGGAATCTGATTTTCCCTTCCTTTTCCCTGAGAGAGAGGTTACATTTTTTTTTCTTTTTACATTAATATTAAATGAAATAAATTACATTAAAATTTAAAGTAATCACTTTGTTAATCTAAAATACTTTTTGGATATAACTGTAATTTGATTACCCCTTATTTAAAATGTAACTGTAATGGAATTTTACATTACATGTCTTTCGTTACTCCCGACCCTGATCATAACGTCCACATACTGAAGGATGCTCCTGTTTCTTTGCTCAAGTGTAGATTTTTGCTTAAGATTCTTCCATCCCCAATCCTTATCTCCTCATGGGGAAATTAGTGAAAATGAGCCATCTTTTTTCTGTTCAATAAATTTTCCGAAACCATGGTCATGCAGAACATCACTTGTACAGCTTACTTAATGTGTGATTGCATAAAAGATGGGAACAAATGCATAAAAATTTAGATGGAGCTATTCTGTCTGACATCTGCATTTTGTGTGCTTAAAAGTTGGGATTGGGGGACATGCCTGAACTACAGTAGGTGATACAGGAAATCAGCAGCCTAATAAACAAGCTAACTTGCACAAAAAAACATACTTAAACATAATTAGCTATATATTTGAAAGACTGTCAAATACATAGTACAAAATAGTATTTTGTATTTCAAATATATATTTTTGAATACATGCATATGAAATACTGCCCATTATTCTCAAGACCTGCTCGAAGGCCTCAGCAATGACATATCTGAAACATTACACCCACACACAGAACAGGTAGAACTTTGCTTGAAAACTTCAAAGAACAAACTCTATTTGCATAAAGTTTTTGTTCCACTAGTTTTTGTCTTTGTTCCAGACGTTTTTTAAACAAAGTCTGCAGATGGACAGAATCAAGTGTACTAGTGATAGACATTCAAATAGGCATGTGTTATAATAATGTGAATTGTTTGAATCATTACCAATTCATTAAACTTTATGGAGCAAAGTGTTAAAGGGTTAGTTCACCCAAAAATGAAAATTAGCCCATAAATTACTCACCCTCAAGTCATCCTATGTGTATATGACTTTCTTCTTTCAGACAAATCCAGTTGGAGGTATATTAAAAAGTGTCTTTGATCTTTCAAGCTGTTTCATGGCACTCAGCGGGTGTTGCATGCTGATGTTCAAAATAACTTAAATAAAAAGCCATCCCATCCATCTCACACGGCTCCGGGGGTGAACAAAGGCCTTCTGTAGCGAATCGATGCGTTTTTGTTAGAAAAATATCCATATTCAAAATGTAATAATCACTTTAATGTAGCTTGTGCTCACTGTTGTACACGGAGGCAGATCCGGGCGGATGACGTATGGAGGTCGGCTTTGCACATGTGCCGCTCAGAAGTGATGCACGCGGAAGCGCAGGGGAGAAATCAAAACAAAGCAACGCTCACTAATTAGAAGTACAAAACGAGGATTTGTAAAGAAGAATGTCGGAGGATTTGGATATAAGCCAAGAGGAGACTGGTTTTCCTTTGCTAAAGTAAGGAAACTTTGCTTCCTTTGCTCCTGTAAACAAACGTTGGT